AGCGCTAAACTCTTCGCGAATGATGCTTTCGGGCCACATGTCTTCTAGTTTAAGTATCATCTCTCAGTGGCATGGTGCACTTATTGTCACGAAAGCTCCCTTCTGAAAAGGGAGCTTTCGTGTAACTCTTTGCTTGACAACTCGGACCCGCTTTCGACAGGTTTCTGGTGAGGGTTGCAAAAGGGCAAATTTAAATTTGGAGCAATGGAGGCCCTGTGATGCTCATGATGCTGGCTTTCCTGTGCGAGATGTGGGCCCGTGATGCTGATGATGCCGGCTTTCAAACGCAGGACGTGGGCCTTTATCACGCTGTGGTACCCCGATGATCCGCACCGACGCATCCCGCAAGAAGTAGCTTTGACGATTTGCAAAAAGTCTGCAACCACTATGCTTATTTGTAGTATTACGTTTGTTTATCATAGTTACGCCATAGTTCACTGAGGGGTTGGGCGATGTGCAGACTCCGAAAGCTGCGAGAAGCAGATTCACAACCGGTCTGCAGGAAATGTTGCTTGATGCAGGTCAAGCAGGTCGGACGTTTCACGATGCACCGCTCCCTGTGTGAACGACAACTTCTTGGCGAGAGAAGGGAGACTAAAGGGATTCGGGATGTATTGCCGGAGACCCAATTTCTGCACACGGATTGCCCTTTACGTGCAGTCTATGCTATTTAAAGGGCACGTAAAGCTGTGTTGGTCTGATCAGGGCGTGTGTGGGCTTCACTGCATGTTTGACGCAGCCATTACACCTGAAAGGCTTGTGCTTGCATTTGGCAACTGACTCCATGACGTCCCTTGGGTTGCCCTTGGACAAGCTCGGTTGCTCCTGTAACCCATCACATAGCGAGCCTGAGCATCACGATGCTTGGCGAGATTTACTCGATCAGTGGAGGGACAAGCTTCAGGCAAGACTGGAGGAGGACTTGATGATGATTCAAGATATACAACAAACCATTCCTGAGAGCTCTGTTGTCAGTCACAAGCGCTGCCCGTCCACAGAGTTTTCAGCCAGACGCAGCCTGGATCCGGATGCAGTGCCGATCCCTCCTCGGGTCCATTCTCAGGCCGTACTGCTTGGTTTTACGTCCTTGACAGGAGATAACTTAGACAGCGAGTCTCGAAGTCCGATGAACAAGAGCGCATCGGAGACGAAAGGGCATGTTAAGCTTCAACTGCCAACAGATCATGCAGAATCAGGTCGAGATCATCGGTTGTATCAGATTCAGAGTATTCGCTCTGCACCTGCAAGTTTCGTTTACTTCAGCGGCGCAGAGCGGAATCGCCTCGTAATGCAACGAAGTGAGTATTTGGAGTCAAACATGGGGCCCTCGGATGTGCAGCATCATGAGTTTCAACCGCTTGTCACTTGGACCAGAGGAGAGGACCCTGGCTTCAGAATCAGCGGTGCAGATGCAAAACTTCCGAGCTCTGACTTCGCAGAAGATCTTATGGTCGTTCAGGAATACAACGGCTGCTTTCGGCACTTCATGATCTTTCCGAGCAGCCCCTTGAAGCTGGCCTGGGATTGTGCAGGCGCTGGGCTGATCGTGCATGACCTCTTCACAATCTCCATGCAAGTCTTCGAACCTGGAGATACAGATATTTCCAACTTTATGCAGTGGTTGATTTTGACGTATTGGAGCATCAACATGTTGATCTCCTGCCTCGTCGGCTACATAGACAAAGGGATATTCGTAATGGTTCCGCACAAAGTTATTTTCCATTACATCAAAACTTGGTTTCTTATCGACCTGATCGTAGTTGGCTCAGACTGGATATTCTCACTCTCTGCATCTTCGGATGGATCATCTGAGTCCTCAGCCGGAAGCTCGGTCAAACTTCTACGAAGCCTCCGCCTCTTCCGGATGGTAGGGTGCTCAGACATCGCAGCGACGGCACTTTCGCTTGGCCGGTCACTGAGCCAGCACAAGCCCTTGCACTAGGAATGCCACACCTCAGGTGCGACTCGTGCGAATCCTACGCCTGAGAAAAACTATGGAAAGCATCAGCGATTTGGTGGATTCCGAGCGACGCGGTGCGATTGGCGCATTGCACTGGGCCAGTCTCCATGTCCGCAGACGACCTCCCCAGTTTTGATGTTGTTTTCGTTGTGCGTTGGGCAAGCTGCTCCGAGGTACATCAGCATAGTTGTCAGCATCCTCAAGATGCTAGCCCTGCTCTTGATTGTCAACCACGCAGCTTCTCCTATCTAGCTGTTTAATGCAAGTCTTCTAGAGCATGTGCAACGTGTATGTGCTATTGACTATCTGTTTTGAGGTTATAGCCTGTGTGTGGTTTTGGATTGGCGACCTTCATGGTGGCGGTGGATGGATCGAAGCACACCAGCTCAATGATGCAGCCTGGGACTATCAGCATCTGCGGCCTGCAATAGTTCCAAATCACCTGTCATTATTGGTTCCTTGGTGGGAGCGTCAGTTGGTTCAGTTCTGTCTCAGTTTAAGCCAGATCCGGGAATCCGTGTTTGCTTCATGAATTCTGTTGGATTGCGTGAACTCAAACAAAGCTGCCTGTGGAGGAGTCGGTAAACCTGTTGCAGGAAGCGGCAAGGGTTGCTGCATCAACAACAAATCGCTCACCAATGTCCGTCCCATGTTGGACAGCCGAAGCCCGAAAAGAGACTTACAGTGCAAATACCGGCAAGCTCTGCGTGTCGAAAGTGGTCATTGTCATGCTATCCAGCATAGAACTACTGTTAGATATCCCTTCATTGATGACCAACCCTTGGTTTGTTTCTTCAAACCCTGGCTTTATGACTGGTAGGCTGAGTCCGCAGATGCTTTGGCTTAGCACAAAACCCAGATGCTTCGGGCACGTCTTGCTTGCCAAGGCATTTGTGTTTTCTCAGAACAAGAATGAAACTGGGCAATCTCTCGGAAGGAGTTGGAGTTAAGAAGTGGCCAGCCGCATGTGTTCGGACACTGTAGTGGCAGTGTCCTCCGTGGTGTCGGCTCGACGATGTTCTGCTGGCCGACAGCAGAGTTGTTGAGACTCGCCGGAGTTGCCCCCACCATCCTTTCATGATCACTTGCCACCTATCCATCTGTCCGTCCGTCCGTTTGTCTGCCGTCCACGTCCGTCCACGTCCATCCGTCCGTCCGTCCGTCTGTCCGTCGGTCTTTCTGTCTGTCTGTCTGTCTGTCTGTCTGTCTTTTGTACTATATTTTTTTTCTATGTCTGCAGGTATGCCACGAGCTTGCACTGGGCAATCACCCAATTCACGCCGGCTTCAATGCACGTGCAGCCTCACACCTTGTCAGACTCCTGCTTGCACCTTACGTCGTATGTACTCAAGAGTGACGAGAAATGTCTGCCTCATGACACGATCTCTGTGCAGAAGGTGCTTGATCCTTGAATCCATTTTGTTAGGAGCGCATGTTTGCTATTGGCACTGTGGTGTTTGCCCTCGTTGGTTTCTCCTACGTGACGTGGCAATTGGACAAAACTCATGCGTAATTTTGCCGCAAGTGCGCAACTTGTCCAAAGCTTCCTGCCATTTCAGAGTCAGCTGAGGTTGTGGGCAGCATCTCGGGTTCGTTGGCGCAGCTACGAGGCGGGCAGTCCAGACTGCTTCGAGACTACAGAGGGTGAGATGGAGACCTCTAGGCCCTCTAGGCCGACTCTAGGCTCGATTGCTGTGCAGGCATGACAGAGAATCGAGCACGACAATTTTGGGAGTTACGGCGGCACCTGCGGAAGAACCATGTTTCCATCACGTTGTCAGCGCGCATCCAGAAGTATGCGGAGCATGTTCTCGAAAGTCCCTCGTTATCAGCCGATCTTCGCATAGAGTGACAGCCAAGAGCTTGTGCTAGCAGTTGCCGCAAAGAACTGAATTGCAGTCGCATGCGGCCTGGGCCTAAAAGACAGTTCTTTGCAGAGCATTGCAGAGCTGTTAAGGCCAGGAGGACAATGTGCCTGCCAAAGATGTGAAACTCTTGTCCGTCCTGTCGGAGCAGCTCCGGAGCGAACTCGAATGTGCCTCCGGAAGGACTAAGAGTAGTTTGGTCTGGTTGTGTTGTTCTGGCCATTTCCATCTGAGGCGAGATTTGCATGCCGCACTTTTCGGTCCATCCACTCTTCGCGAGACTTTGTGTTGTCTCTCGTGTTACAATACACCGACTGGCGAACAATGCGATTTACAACAAGCTCTTGGCACGAACTGATACCCTTTTCATTCCTGGGGAAACTGCAACCCACATGTACATCGTCGTGGCTGGGAGGCTGGCTAAGTTTGGGGCTTCTGGGATTTCTTTGCCTGTGCTGGTCCACAGATCACGAGCACGATCAAGTCAGCACCGTTGTACCAGTACATGGTTGTGTCTGCCGCGAGTGGGTAAGCCGCCGGAGCACGTAGAGCTATGTAGAGCTACGGAGTGCAACAGCGGCCTTCGGCAGGCTTGTGTACAGCCGCTTCGATTCCAAGAACGACGAGCACAAGGAGCTTGTGGACAAAGGCGAGGCATCAGCAACCTGTGAGTCCGCCCAGACTAAAGTCACTTAAGTCTGCGCGAGGTGAGGACTGGATCTCGGAGCCGGTGTTGTGGACTTCGACGTGGGTTCATTTGGGTTTGCTGACAGCTCTGACGGAGTGCGCTCTCATGGTCCTGGACCCGGTCCAATTCGGTCGGATTGTAAATTTGAACCCAGACGCAAACATGCTCGCGACTACGTACGTGAAAAACTTCATAGCGTGGATCAACTCTGTTGAGAGGGACAGTCTTTCTGACATTTGGCAGGGTGAGAATGTGTCCCCACGTGTGGCGAGCTTCATGGAGCTGGATGAGAACCAGTTTAGAAATGCGAAGAGTTTGGCGGCAAAGCTCATGAATTGGCAGGTTTGAAAGGCATTCTTAGCAAGCCTTTCTTTTTTCTATTTAATTGCAAGCCAGACGCTCCACAACCTTGCTTCTTTAAAAGAAGTGTGAGCCAGTGTCGTTCCGGTACTTGCCAGAAAGTCTCAAGCACTTTGTTGGCTCGTATTCTGATGCTAAGTGAGACGGAGGAGGAAAATGTGATCCTTTTCTCAAACTTCGACTCCCCACGGCAGCAAGCATGGACTGCAGTTGAATCGCCAATGCATTTCGCTGCGCCGCATGCACTCATCTTGAGCTGGATCCTTGAGGCTTTATACTGATGCAGTCTCAGTAGTGGACTTCGCGGGTGTAGGGTTTGCCATGGTTTGATACCGAACGTGAGGTCATGCCACGTTTGAAATTGGCGGTCTTGTCTAAAGCACTGCGTAACTACCGGTATAGCTCAGGGGTCCTAAATGGCAGCAGAATGTGCAAGACATGTTCAAGACCAAGGCTCCAAAGCTCAGAGAATCAGACAGTGATTTACACTCAACCTGTACTCTGGTCTTGAACATAGGAAATGCTGTACAGGCTATACATTCTTGTGCTTTTCAACCACATAACAAATGGTATGATACTCCAACTTGGTAATGTCATCCTGCAAGTGGTGTCTGTGGCTTACTTAACTGATGCGATCCATATGATTGGATATATGGTCGTCTTATTCAGTGTCTGCGATGCTACAACTTAGCCCTACTGACTTTGTACACACCAGACTGGATCAATCGAATGCTAAAGTCCGATTTCATTGATTTCCTGAAACAGTCAGCGGCTTGCGTGGCCGTGTCGATCCAGTTAACACGGTCTCCTCCACCGGTGTAGACCTCGCAAGTGCGATTGCCATCTTCTGTGAAGATAGATTGGCTTAAGGCGCTTGGCTAGATTTGTAGTCGCTTGTTTTGAACCCGCGCGGGTGCGTCAGAATTCAGATGGTCGGCTGAGCTTCCACAATCTGTGAGGCTAACGTGGGGTACCTTGCTTCTCGCATGAGCCTCCCAGTTCCGCCAAGTGTGAATCCCTTCGCGTCAAAGGATGACTAGGTGGGGCCACGCAGATGCTGGCAGCTCTGCGTGCGAGCTTCCGGGTCCACAAGCTTGGGTACCTGTTCACCGACCCGTAGCCACCAAGGCGCGGTGTCTTTTTAATGATCACCATGCTGCAGCACTCCCCTAATTAATGGTACCGAGCAGTGGCACCTCCTCAGGTCCCATGCGGGTGCCTGAATCCAGTGTACGCGTGGCGGAGGTTGCGGTCCTACTAGGGGATTTGAGCTTAGGGTCTTGGAGCTCCTTAACGCACCTAGGTAGCTCAGCCTTGCAAGCACTAAGTTTTATCAATAGTAGGCCTGTCTGTGCGCGCCTGCCCAAGGAGAGATCACACTCCTTAAGCCGTCACCCTCGGAAACTTCACATGTGCACTTCTTTATGAGGCCTAACGTGCTCCGTGCAAACAGGCTATGGAAAAGCCGAGCCTGGATGTCTATCTCGTGGCTCTCTACCATGGTGGCGTCTCCCTTCTCTACGCTTACCTAAGGTGCTTGAGGTTGCGCCTAAACCAGCAAACGATTTTGTGTTGCTATCAACCCAAGGAGCACTCAGGCCTTCAGTCGGGAGTCTGCGAACCTTCCCCATGCTGCACTACGGCATGTAGAGTTAACCCCTCATCGAGCGCACGCCATACATGAGCCTCATCCGGGTCTCACATATGTACCAGGGGCAAGTCATCTATGGGTATCACATCTGAAGGCATGGTCCCTGCACCTGCAATGTTGTTGGGGAATGCCTTTGGACCTGGTTTCGGCTTCGGCTCGGGTTTTGGCTTCGGCCCAGGCCTCGGCTCGGGGCTACAGGGGGCCACCTAGGCTTAGTACCCAAAATCGGCTCAAAACCTTTCCCCTGACGAATACCGTACGCCAGTCTGGCATCGCCTAGCGAGCCCAAAGCCGACCTCTGCAGCGAGCCAAAATACAAACCTTAACCCGAGCTCTAGCTCAGGTTCCAACCCTCAGCGTGGAATAGCTGTGTGATGCATAGTTACAGGCACAGGATGCACTTTTGGACCCAACCTGCAGGCCGATTTCCAAGAACATCGCCTAGATAGATTCGATAGGCCCCATAGACCTATCAACCGTGCGTGGTCCCGCGTCGCCAGGACATCCCATCGATAGCGTCGAGCTCTGATGCCCACCCGAGCACCAGGACCAGCCGCTGCTTCTGAAGCGCCTCCATTGCCACCATTGGTCAATGTGTCGCCGGTTCTCCTCGTCACGGTCTTGTTGCGACGGTCCTTGGTCGTGGGGTACCACCGGGACGTTGACCAGGAAGCGGCTCCTGTAGTAGATGCATCTGGCTCCTGGGCCGCCTGAGTCTCGAACCGCGAGCTTGTTTGCGGAGCCGACCCAGATTCATGCCGAGTGATTGAGTCTGGCTGCTCATCTCTGCGCATCTGCTCCACGCTGCGTTGGTAGGCTGCTTTAGCCTCGTGCTGCGCGCAGAGCGGATGATTCCCGCTAAGGTACTCATCTAGTTCGTCAATGTAATAGGAGTCGGCCCTCCTGCTGTCCGAGAAACAGCCCGGGAAGCTACACGGATCGAGGGCATCAACAAGTACGCCTTCGTCCGCTTCTCCCTTGCGCTGGGCGCTCATCCTCCATGGCCGGCTGACTCACGAAGGTATCAGTCCCAACGGGTCTGATATGTTGAAGTGCTGCGGCGTGCTCGGCTGAGCGTCTGGCTGCTGACCTGGGACTAAGGGAGGGCTCTGGTCCATCACTGTCGTGATGGCCTCGCGCAGCCAGTCGCGAAAAGCGGTCGGGTGAACTCGCTTCTCTCGAGCCAAAGCTTGCGTCACTCGGTCCTGGAACAATCCGAGTAGAGCCTCCGTCGCCTCACAGGGTTGAGGTCGGCGGTCGCGACGTCGGCCATAACGACTTGAACAGTGGGAAGCGTCTGCTCGGTCGCTTCAAGATGCGCTCAGCTGCTGCCTTCCTTTCTTTGTGAAATTCTTGGGCACTTCATCCACGAATGTGCCGCACATCCTGCAGAACGTTCTGGAGGTACTCCTAGAACTTCCTCTATCGTCCGTGGCGGTGTGCATGAGGGCACACCGCGCGATCCGGCGTACACGTGCTCCCGTTCCTGTTTCTGCTGGGACACGTGGCCGCAGGACTTGCGCACGAACTTGCTTAGTACGTGAAGTCTGCGCAGGTCGCGCACCGATTTAGTGGAGTATTCGGTAGCACCTTGCCTTTTGCCTTAGGCCTTGGCTTTTAGGTTCCCTCGGGGATACCTACGGATGCACGCGTCTCTCTACAGGTGCGACCCTCCAAACCACGGCTACAATGATATATTATCCATTAAAGCAGGTTAGGAAATCACGGGTCTGTGCTGTGGGGCTTAGCTGCACCATAGCCCGGGGCGCAGGTCCAGGCCACGTACTCTAACTTACGGGCAATTTCCTCGGAAGTACTGCCCTTGTGCTGTCGTAAGGTAAACCTCCTATCGCCACCTTCCATCTAGATGGGGCCGCGGGCCCAACCTTGGAACCTGCACTAAGCTCGCTGACCATATTGGTGTGTGGTTCAGCGTCGTCGCCTGATGGGGCATACAAGCCTCCATCGTCATCGCGCCGCCGCTGGGCGATTGCGATGTGGGCTCGGGCCTTGCCTTGCGCCTTTCCTCCCTTCTGGGAATGGGAAGGAAACTTACACTCTGGGTCTCCAGCCCAGTGCCCGATGGCACCACACCTAAGGCACGTAGACTTAGACTTGGCCTTATAAGGGAACGCATCTTGTCGCGTCGTTCCTTTGGGTAAGGTGTGATCTCACTACTTTGCCCTTCCCTTTTCCTTTGGGCTTCTTGCCCTGCTTGCCCTTTGCCTTACCAAATCACGAATTGGCAGCCAAATGCAACTGTATGATGGCGTGGCCGCTCTCAGAGGACTCCTCTAACTCCGCGAGCTCGAAGTCTTCGGAGCTTTCGTCTTCTTCTTCCTCCGTCTCTGCGGCAGGGTAGGAATACGCATCGTATCCGTAGCCATCCTCATCCCCGAGAGCAGGGTACGAGGTCTTCTTGTAGGTGTCCTGGCTGTTGTCGTCGTCGTGGCTTTCCTCCTCAGGATAGGCCAGGGCCTCATCCTCAGCGATGACGCAACCTTTCCCTTTGCCTTGCGGGTAACCTTTGCTGCTGGGGCTATGCCTCGGCCCCATTTCCGCTGCGACGGTGGGTTTGGTAAGATCCACCTAGGGTGCGTCCCTCGCGCACGTAGCCCGACAATTCAAGAAGAAGCTCCACACGCATCGGCTCAGAAAGCTCGATGCTGCTGTCCAAGGAACGAAACAGCTTTCACCACCGTCGGCGATGCATCAGCCGTGATAACATGCTCTCGCACGCCAAGCCTTGGCGTGCGAGGGCGCCTTGCCTCTGGCCGGCACGAAAGAGCTCACGAATTTCTTCCGCGGCGCGAGGAAACACAATGCTGCGCATCTTGCCTATGAAGGCACGGAGCCCCCCAGGAGCAGTAAGGGATTCGATGCCGATATCCCGTGCAAGCTCGAAGGCTTCCACCCGAAGTCCTTTTAGGATTCGGTGTGCCATCTCGGCCCTCGCCTTCACAGCGTAAGCCCAGGCGCTCCTCTCGTCCATGGGTAGCGTTGAGGAGCCGCTCTTGACGGAGCGGTCGCAGGCCGCGGTCTCGTAGGAGATCCGCTGCCTTCTGCGTGTGCTTCAGTAGCAGGCCCGTCCTCATCGGGTTCGGGCGCGGTGGCTGCAGTCTGGGTTGCGCTGGCAGCCTCGGCCTCACTCTCGGACTCGTCCAGGTCGACAGTCTTGTCGCCTTTCCCGATCGCGTCTTGGCGCTTCAGCCTCATCGAGGCCCGAAATTCCCAGTCATGGAATGTACCGAAGTTTCCGCCGTATATGTACGAACCGCTACGGGTCTCCAAGCGAGTACCCGAACCGCTCATTGTCAAGGCTGATCAAAGGAACGCCAGAACACAGGGAGGAGTGCAATGGGTCGATATCGGGCTCGCCGAGGCCGTACGATCCTATGGTACTAAGACCCGCTCGGCTGGTCCCACCGAGGGGTTACCAGCTCGGCTACCAATTTGAAATTGGCGGTCTTTTCCCAAGCACTCCGTAACTACCGGTATAGCTCAAGGGCCATAAATGGAAGTAGAATGTACAAGACATGTTCAAGACCAAGGCTTCAAAGCTTAGAACCAGACCGTGACTCACAATACACTTTTCGTTTGTGTTAACGTGCGTGGGGTTCATGATAATCCTTCGAGTTCATGGGCAGAGATGCAAGTTCCGGGCTGAGCCCGTTGTTCGCCGCGCGAAGATGCTTTCCATGATCTAACGCAAGCTCAGCGGTCTGCGAGGTCACTGAGTTCAACGACATCAAGGCTCGGACACAGAATGAATGCATGTCGAGTTATAAGGTTTCAGTCTGAGGTCAGGACAGGCGTCGCTTGAACCTTGCGATCGAGGGCTGCTACCTGCTAGTGTTTTTGTTGATCATTCGAGCTTGGATAATGTGTCGACGCAAAGGATGTACTCAATTGGATTCACTTCTCGCGCTACATAGAAGGCTGCTGGGTGTCCGTTCAATGCCGTTGCGGCCGGATGCCCCTTGCGCAATCCGTTCGCGATCTTTTGCCTGTCCAAGCCGTGCAGACTCCGATGGGATGGCTTGGTTTCGGGAGGGTTTGAAAGCGAACTTGCTTACAAGAAATCGTGCTGATAGTGACTGTGTTTGGGGACATTTGATTGATCCTCTGGCCTGGAAAAGTCGAATGCCTGCTCCAACTGTCTTGGGTCCAACCCCGTCTCTTCTCACTTGCTCCTTTCGGTAAAAGCCCGGTAAACCTTACGTGCTCTCGAGCACCAAGACACCTGGTCACTGCTTCTGAAGTCTTAAGTAACGAGGCACTCATTCTTACAGATCAGCGTGTTGAAGCATTCGCTACTAGCTTTCTTGCTGGGACATAGTCATGCAGGGTGGTTCTGATTAATATGTCGATAATCGACCAGTTAATTCTCTGATCTTTTCGCTGATTTTCGTGTGTGCCTGCATGCAAGATGCTATTCTGAATGCGCGCGTGCCCGGATGATCCTGGATGCACTGGGAGGTCTATAATCTTTCTGCTGGAAAATCGCTACCACAATGGCTCGCCGAGTCCAAAAGGAAAAAACAGTTGCTCGGATCATGCAGGATGCGCTATGTTACTTTGTTGTAGTAGCATGGAGCCGAGTAGCTCGTTCTAAGCATGAGGTCATTGCGAAGCAATGAGGACGGGCCCTTGTTGCTTGCATGCGCCCAGTGTGACGAATGATAAAACGCGATGTAGGACTTCCGGAAGCGCATCGATCTGATCCAGGAACGGCTTTACACTGTCAGCTGTAAGCTCACAGTATGCTCGTTGTTGGATTCGGTTTATTTAGCACCCAGTGTCCCATGTGCACAGCAAGCAGGGACCCCTCCTGAGCCTGGGAGGATTTCGAGTTCAATGTGGCTTCTTCGCGAGTAAAGGTCAGCCCTGACGGCCAGTACGTTCTATCCACCGGCATTTATGCGCCGGAGCGCTTGTGCGGTTACGTTTGGGAATTTCATGCGACATACTCGCACCTCCAAACACCCAACCACGCAACGGGCACTATTGTCAGGAGCTGCGTATATTCGACTTGAAAGAGCTCGGAATGAAGTGCTCTCGCAGCGAACTTACCTGAGCAGCATGTTGATTGTGGATTCCCCATGCAGGCTTTGCAGTTAGAGTTGGGATACAGCATGATCGACTTCAGTCGACGACTATGTCGTGTTCAGGGCTGCGATGTAGGAGAGAACCTGCCACTTACGGTTTGGGTTACGAGCTTTGCCGATTGGGCAGGGCTGATTGGGCTTAATAGCTCTTCTGGAGGTCCAAGTGACCAGCCTGGAACTCCATTCCGCCCCAGTCTCTTTGTCTGTGTCCGTGTCTGTGCTGGCAGCATCGAGGTGGTCTGGATTCGGAGGTTGTGGATCTTCAGCTCCTGTCCGAGGATTGGAAGAAGCTTGCCGCTCACCAAGAAAAGAGGATCAACTGGAAACTAGTTGAAGATGCGACGACTTGTACCCCAAGGGCACAAAATATTCTTGCCAGTTATTTTTATGTGACAGCGAGATCACTCATCCAGTGGGTTACCCGGAAGTTTCAAAGTCAGGGTCTGCAGTACACAAAGTTCCATTCCTCAAGCTCTCACTTCAGGATTAGGGATTTCAAGCTGAGTGCTTGGGGAAACAACGTTCTTTTTCAGTAAACACCTGCATTACGGCTTCTGGGGCTGCAGCGACCAATTTCGGGTTTAGGGCTTAGTTCTTCAGTCTAAAGCTTGGTGTTAGCGGTGTCAGTTAACAGACTACCGGGATATGCAGTATGGCATCCCAGTGTCTTTAGCGCACCTCGATGGTCTTGCACTGTGACATCATGGTTAAAGCTATGGCATTTTCCTTCCAAGTCTCCACTAATGCTGCAATCGCCGAAGCGGCACATCTGAACGCTTCAGTTCCCCAGTCAGAAGCTGAAACATCAAAAGCCGGAAGCAGCATGCAGTGCGTGCGCGGAGCTTCTACGTCAACGATGCCCTTAAGGATCCTGGTCGCTATGACATTGATGTTTATAAACTTGGGGTTGAGGATCCGAGGTAAAGTTTTTGAGCCTATGTTTTTCAGCGAGGTCCTGTCGCCTTACTTGCCTGGTTGCGATCTGCATGAGTCACCGCATGACTCATCAATTGGGATGGTAAACTCATCGTAAAAGCATCAGCTCGGATGGTAGCATAAACCCCCAGCCGGCTTAGCTCGAAAGCTGCGCCAGAGTAGGATGACGGCTCTTGTATCAGGTGGGAGCCCAAGATTCAAAAAGGTGCTCCTGTACCAACCATACGGACTCCCACATCCTCTCAAAACCCTCCACATCGTGAAGTCCAATCACTTAAACAGTAAACGCCAAAAGTTGTCACTTGTGGTACTACCCTTTTTTGTTCTTCTCTACCCTCGGTAAGGATATAGATAACGGTAGGGACAGGGCAGGACGGCCCACAAACTCCTGATCTGTAGTTTCGGGATGTTCGATGATATAGGCCGCGACACCTTTTGAGCTCGGCAAAAGAGTCATTCTCGGCAGAAGAATCAACCAGGTAATGCGCAAAGTTCTGTAAGATCGATCCAGGCAAGAAACCTGGGACCGGAGCAGTCCTGTATGATCCAGGCACCAGAAGCCAAGACAAGCAACCACCAACAACAAACAACAACAAGCCAATACCAACAGCAGACCTGGTCTCGAGTCTCTGCTTCCGTGATGATTGAGTTCAATTCTGTGCACTGTTGTCTGGTGATCATGGGGGGAGCTCGCGACTCAGGTAATGCTGTTGCATGATCGAACTTTGGAGTTTCATTCCCAGTATGGGCGCCATCACCGCTTGAGGGTTCCCAAATGCCTGGGTCTGAGAGCATTGTGTTAGACTGTGTTGCGCTGCAAGTCTGAGGGGACGGGCATTCCACACAGCACAGTATTTGGCCAGGTGGTCGCAGCATCACGTACGACAGCGAGTCGTGCACCCTGTTTGTGGGTGGGTCTTCGCAAGAAGTGTACAGGCGCGGAAAGAATCACCAGACCTCTTTTAAGTGCTGGGGGCCAGCCCGTGTTTGGCAGCTGCGGCCCTCAGGTTGGACTTGGAAGCTGGAACTTTCCTCACGCCAATCGAAATGCAGAGGATGAATGAGGTCAACGAAGTGGTTACGACCTTTGCCTGCAGAGTCACAAGCTGTTCGACTAATCCCTTGGTCACGGTTGTTACCGTGATTGAAACACCCAGGAAGAATACTTTGCTGTATTCACTGCTCTTTCCGGCATGAACCTTTCTAAACATCTCGAACAGTCGAGAACGTTTGAGCCCGGACAGGCTTAAGTTCCCTCGTAGAGGAGATGCGTGATGCATAGCTTACGGCTTGCCACCCACGAAGCACGGCATGAAAGCGGTTGTCACAAAGAAACGTTCTGCATTCTCAACAATACCGTCGCTGTACTGTTTAGTCGAGGGGACTAAGCATCAAATGGAGAGGGATGGGTTTACTCCATGCTACTAGTCTAACAGACGGTGTGCCTTCTCATAGGTCAAGCTTGCAGCCCTTGCGCGATTGTGCAAGGCATCCACGGCTGCCTATCGTGAGTTGCTGCGGTGATGGCGCTGTCGTCGAATCGTGGGATTTGCGTGATCAAACATCTCCTCTTCAGACGCTGAAGGCTCCTTGTGCCTTTCTTTGCTGTGACATCGCCACGCCAGAACCTGTTCTCGGTTGGTAGCAGCAGCTTCGATCCCTGTGCCAGCAGCCTTACTGTACATCTCCAAGGTCTTCAGAGCTTTGACCGGGGTTAAAGTTCAACTGAAGCTTTCGAGTTAGTCGATTGTCAGGGTCTACCCTCGGCTTCAGGTTGTGTTTGTCCTGTCAGCCATTGGAACTCCAATCCTCAACTCTCCGGACTAGCCGAGCCATGTGGCCACACATATTCATTGGGGGCCGTTAGCTTTCACTGGTTTGGTGATCTCCGCGTGCCGCTGCAGGTTGGTTGTTTGTTCGGTTGTTGTATGTGTACATCTTTTCTGTCTGGTTTGCCACTGATACTGTCAAAGAGTGATAGACTTGTCTCTGCAGCCAGGTTGATGAGGCCTCGACATCCGAAAATATTCAGGCCATGGCGCGTTCAGATCTCGCGCAAGGGTTTACCATGGTGGAGTCGCTTTGTCTCGAGGTGACGCGATGTGCCTATTCGGGTAACGGCATGTTCTTTGCCGCAGGCACCTCCGAGGCCAGACTCAGAGAGACGGTCGAGACCGTAAATTGCGGCTCTCAATCCCCACTTGGTGTCGATGTTGGATCGCGAGCTGCCATGCAATGCAGGCAGAGTGTGGAGTTTAGTAAGTTGGTGCTTTGTAAACGAGTTGGCTCCTTCAAATCTTTATGTGGCCCACAGGCCAACAAAACGAGGGAGAGTACCGGCACATAGGACTCAGGACTTCAGTTCGGAAGGGTGGCAATGCGCCCTCCCTCCCTCCCTGCCTCCCTTCCCTTCCCTTCCCTCTCCCTCCCCTCTCCCCTCCCCTCCCCAAGCCTCCAAGAGCGGATGCCCAGCAGAGGATTGACAGGCATCTGACATCATCTGACAAACAGTCGGACACTGTGGCTGCCCCCTCGCTGGTAGCAGTGGTAGCGCAGCAACCCCACGAACCAATCAGGCCCATTTCATCCACCCTTGGCCTTCACTGACCACCCAGCCTTCACAGCTGCTCTGCTGAGCTCGAACGCTCAGAGTACGATGCTGTTCCTTCCTTCGGATCCAGAGCACATCACCTGGCTTTATCAAGTTCGTTGCATTCTTTGGCCGTGTGTTCCGAAGTCTTGTACGGCAGTCGATCAGCATGGCAGCCTAACCTTGTAACTCTCGAGATCACGCTTCCACCGCATCAAGCTGTGAATAAGCAAAAGCATGCCAACGCAGCAACAACATGCACAACGTTGTCATTGCTTTCACGCGGCTCTCCAACAGGATGTCCTCAAGCTCTCCAGATGAGAGATATGCTGTATTCCAGAATTGCTGACAGGGCATCGTTCGTGTCTACGACCTTCGAAGCAGCCGGCCGTTGGCTCAGCGCGACCATATGCGACTTGTCACGCAAATCAAGGAGTACTTCTTGCGAGGATGGCTGTGCCTACTGGGCCTGGGAGCGACTCAGGAATGACTATGCGATAACCTCGCTTTGTTTTCATGGCAGTGGGCCAGAGTCGTCAGATCTTTTGGTTGCATCCTCTGACAAGAAATCCATCAAGGCAGGAAGCTGACCTGCTAAATGCGCTCGAGCACGTTTTGTGCAAGCCACGAAAGGAGCTCCTTCAAACAGCATCTAACATCTGTCTTGTGCTGGACCAGGTCTGGGGCGCAACGACAGGATCGATGAAGGCATCTGTGGAATCACAGAGTGCCGCCCGCCGGCATTCCCTGCAGGATGTTGTAAACCTGTTGCTTTCGAGCACACAAGCCTCGGCCGGCGAGGTTGTCAACGATGTTAGCTTCTATCCCAACTCGGGCTTGATGTTTGTGGCGAACGACCATCAGTGCCACGATGCATACAGTCGCTTGCAACTGTGATGGTCTCTGCGATCCGCTCTTGAATGATCCAGCCCAGCCAAGGAGAATTGGGACACTTGACTTTGCATAAGTATGTTAATATGTGCTGTGTGGATAGATAGATAGATAGATATGATAGATAGATAGATAGGTATAGGTATGTTTGTGTATACAATGTATGCGTTCGGATAGATAGGTAGGTACATAGCCGTATAGAGAGAGACAGCGAGAGAGAGAGAGAGAGAGAGAGCGAGAATGAGAGATGGACAGATGGATGGATAGCTAGACAGATACAAAGACACACACACACACACACGCACACCCACACACACATATATATATATATATATATTACATACATACAGATACACATACACACATATACACATACACACACACATACACATACACACATACACACATACACACATACACACATACACACATACACACACACATACATACATACATACATGCATACATACATTTATTTCTCTTTTCTTTCTTTCTTTCTTTCTTTCTTTCTTTCGGAAGGCTGAGTGTCCGGATTGAACGCCCCTCTAACAGAAATGAATTCTGGGAATCCGCTGGCGCTAGGGCTGAGCAGTAATCAGGCTACCAACGGGGGCGAGCGAGGGCATAAACCGGCGGCTCATGCAGCCAAAAGCGTATCCCAAAACTTTAGAACCATTCACGCTGAATCACGGTGCAGCATGCACTCTCGGGTTGCCCAGCCGAAAGATCACCCGGCACTCGCGCAAGCGCTGCAATATGGAGTCGGTCTCCCCAAACGAATCACAATTGTCCTGTATTCTTGCAGCACCCGTCACATCTGAATGCCAAAGCAACCGCATCCAGCAAATCTATGCACCACTCGCCGCCTGGATCAAACGGGACATTGCCAGCCTCCACGTTCCACGAAAGGGTCCGGTCCGATGATCTGTAAGACACCATCACACAATGGCACCACACCTGCACTCCGTGCATCCACGGTGGAGCCGCCAGCCACCACGACGGGACGCGCCGCAGCGGCGCCACAACAGGTCTGCAACAACAGTCGCGCCGTTGCTACTGCCGTGTATCCCTGATGTGAGGTGTGACTCGTTGCTGTAGGCGTCAACCCCAAACATGTCATGCGAGCTCCCCTTGCAGCGGGATCGACCATCACATGGCAGCGCGCATGTCCTTCAACACCGGGTCGCACTGAAAAAAGTACATTGAAGGCGGTCTCTCCACCATTGAAGGCGGTCTCTCCACCATTGATCGCGTTGTCCGAAAGTAGGCGTCCATCAGGTCGGATGTCATGCTTCAGGCAGAAGAGCTTCCAGCAACCATCACAAATCGGACCCGCAGTAGCGCGGAATGTCTCCTCACCTTTCTCGTTGGCAAGCATTCCCTGCTTGGGATTTAAGGCATGCCCTGCTTGGGATTTAAGGCGGCGCGCTGCGCGGCCGAGATTTTGGTGAGATGCGTCTTCGCCGCAGGCAGCTCGCCCTTTAGTGCATGTTCAAGTGGCTCCCAAGTCCCATGCCCCATGGCGTGCACTACATCACACATCTGTGTTTGGGTAAACAACTACACTCGTCACCGCGATCAGAATGTTGTGGTACTGCACAAGGGGTCAAAACATTGTCAGAGCCACTCGTGAACTCTCGAAGGCATAGTTCAGCACAGTGCCTTACGTCGCTCTTCCGGGCGGTCAAGTCCAGGCAAAGTACTGTTGCAGCGCCATGCCCAGGGCGAACAATGACAAACCACTCTCGGCCACTACATCAGGCAGGACGGCATAAACAGCTTCCAGAACGCACCGCTTGCCACCATGGCGAGTTACCGCGGTGCTGGGGCCTCGATCTTCCCGCTGAACTACGGGCAATTCGGGCCCTTGAGCCAAAATGGCTACGGTATGTATGTATGTATGTATGTAGGTAGGTATGTATGTATGTATGTATGTACGTACGTATGTATGTATGTATGGTAGATTTGCGCTGGGGTAGGTCGGGCTACTGGCCAGCGCGCACCACGAACACTAAACTACGACAAACAGCACATGTCTTGAGTGTGTCAGTGCGTGTGTCCAGGCCACTGATTGTTTTCTTCAGGTTGAACTGCCGCGGCACCGGCAGCCATTATAAAGCACCCGCCCGCCCGCCCCTGTTATATTCACAGGTGTGAAATGAGTGAATTTTCGGGCCAGATGGCCTTCTGGGGCAGCCGCGGACTTCATTTGGGCGGAGGACACGTCAAGCCTTCAAACGTGACCCCTACAAACATCGTGCCTCAGTGATGCGAATGTCGCTACGGCACGGGCTCGTCGTACGTTGTGCGCAGTGACGACGTGCGTGGCTTTTCGCACTTCCGATGAGCTGGCCTGCACAACAGCATCAGAGTTAAGTTTTTCACTGGCATACTTGTAAAGGCGACATGATTTCACAGTTGTTTGGACAGCTCTCAAGACCATGATGACCCATGTCTGATCATGCCAGGACTCACTGGGTTTTAAATCGAGGTCGAGGTCCTCACTCCGACATTTGGACGATAACGACTCGGACCTTCCCATACGTGTGCGTATGCTTTGGCAAGTATTAAATGGGTTTCATAACCCGAGCGCAAAAAGAAACCAAAAAAAGCCATGACGCCCGCCAGCCAGTGGCCCAACGTTTCAATCCATTGTTTCGGCATGTCAGCAAAATCCTGTGCTGAAAACGTTCATCATTACTGATTAATTTTGGACATTGCCGCCATTTTGGTGATCGCATGACTCCCCGCGACCGTGTTCGTGCAAAACCTGCACTACCAAACATTTTGGGATCGTCCCCCCACTAGGATGATAAATCTCGCACGCTCCCTTTGCGTGTGTGCGCTCCAAGCCAGTTCCTGCACGAGTTCTGTTCCATTTTATGTTCATGTTTTGTTCCAACAAATTTCATGTGGCTCGTGTCTGCAAGGGAATCTTTTTGCACGCTTGCGCAGCGACGTCTGCATTTAATTTCATATCAAAAGAGCTTGCAAAGTACTCGGGTGGCATTGACCGCAGCTATTATGCAGCAAGTCACATGTTATGGCTTTTCATTTTGCATATTTCGTTTCGGATATGTCTTCAGGGTTTTCGGAGTTGCCGACGCTTCGAGGTCGCACATTGTTTCGTGTAGGAACGGCTTCGAGGTCTTCCGTTTGTTTTGCTTGTTAAAGGCTTCAGGCAACTTGCGAAGTGGAGCAAAGAAGTTCAAGCGTGACAAATCCGTGTCTTGTGTGCATGTGTGCGTGCGTGTGCGTGTGCGTGTGCGCGTGTGCGTGTGTGCGTGTGTGCGTGTGTGCGTGTGTGCGTGTGTGCGTGTGCGTGTGCGTGTGCGTGTGCGTGTGCGTGCGTGCGTGCGTGCGTGCGCGCGTGTGCGTGTG